TTAGATAGCAACATTTTGTCACAACCTTTTGACGTCTCACACAGATGCACAAGATACCCTTCAGCACAGGGGTCTCATCGAACTCCAATCTGTCAGGTGATGTAGGGTCACGAGTGACAAAGTCCATGTAAGGAAGAATTTGGAATGGATGGATGGGTCAAATAAACACAGGACTTTCACCCAGGAGACTGGCGTTCATGTCCTGTGTAAAACCAAAAGTCAATGTTCATGTTTTTAGTTAAATTATGTAACATTTGTGACTCATGTCACCGCAGCAATGACAACGTGACTTGCATCATTACTTATTTTTACCTAAATCATCCCTAAATCTAAACAAGTCATTTTGTTGCCTAAACCTAACCAAATTGCAGCCGTTTCGCAAACTTTAACCACATGTTAAAAAAGTGTCTCATACAGATGCTCAAGGGTACATTGTGCTTCTGTATATGATGCCAAGCGTTGTGACAAAGTGGGGTTGGTATTTGACGACCTGGCATGAGAATGTGTTGTAAATGCATTTCTTTAAACATTTCTGTTAAAAACCAAAAGGAAACCAAAATTATTGCTGATAGGTGTAGCATAAGCCAGTGTGTTGGGGTAAGATACTGACAACTTTGTGCTTCCCACTTCCACTTCAGAGTACCCATCCTGGACCTTTGGTCATGAGAACACCACCAGCTGCGCCACCTTTAACATCTCGGAAACCCATGGAGACAACTTCACCATCTCCTTTTCAATGCGCTCACTCAAACACAACGGTCTACTTCTGCAGCTCCGTCGAGAAGAAAAGAGTTACCTGACAATCTATCTGAAGGAGGGCACTGTTGCTATTTACAGCCCTCACACCACCCTTCTCTCCGAGGCCAAGTTTGTCACTGATGGCAACAATAATTTGGTGACCGTAAAGGTACACTATGGTCACGTGGTCTTCCCCAAAGCAGGGAATCACCGCGCCTTAGGGAACGTAAGTGTAGAGGCAGGGGATGTGGCGTATGTTGGAGGGCTCCCTACAGGCAAGAGCATGAATGCTTGGGGTGGAAACTTCAAGGGCTGCCTGCAGGACATCCGGCTGGACCACAAGCATCTGACCATTGAGGATCATCCAGAGGGGGTTGAGGTTTACCAGGCAAGCGCAGAGGAGAATGTGCTGCCAGGATGCCAAAGTGATGACACGTGCAAGGTAAGAGAAAAATATATAGAATAGACAAAAAATAGATGTAACCAGATCAGACAGCCCATCCAATAATTACGAGAATTTTCAGTTTGTACTGAAGCAGTGAACTGACACAATTACCAACATTATGTAATTAGGCAGACTGCATGACACCCAACAGATGTGATATTGACAAAACTTAAATGAAAAGCCCCAGATAAACACTATTATGTTCTGCCAGTGTGTGGCTCTAACACTGAAGCCATGCTAATTGTGTTAAAGCCTTGTAGAGGCCAGATAGCTGGGCTGTGCTGTATTGCCTCAACCCTATTAACACTGATCTGGTTGTGAATCCCTCTGATCTGTAAGTTACCGCTCAACCCTCTCTATAGCTTTTACCTCTGCGGTCGCATCAGGTGACAGATTTTACAAGTGATCATCTAATCCCCCAATCTGTGTTTGTCTGTGCACAGGATGAGCCCTGTTTCAATGGTGGACAGTGTCAGGTCACCTGGAATGACTTCAAGTGCAACTGCTCCATTACCTACTCAGGACGGCTATGCGAGACGCGTTTGTGGTGCGTGGACAACCCTTGTTTTGACGGAGTCCACTGTGTGGACCTGCAGGATGGTTATGAGTGTGAGTAATCCCTTGGCAGTGATTGTGACTCTCTCTATCAAGGCAGGGCAAGTCAAACCAGGCAAGGTCAAGTTTATTTGTTTAGCTCTTATTTTTTTAATTTGACTTATAGTCCTGAAAGGGCCATGTAACATTAGATGGTAAGGACAACCTGCCAAACCTGCCACTGACACAAAAAAAAAACTCATAAGTCTGACAAAAAGAATACTATATACACAACATACTGAAATACAAGGAAAATATAGTTTATGGTTGATGCTTTTTCCAAGTAGCAAAATTAAATGGAAGCAACTGAGACACATGAGGAATGTGATACTGATACACACAACACAATACATAAAACACATGCTACCAGTCACCTTGCCTCTTTCATTACAGTAAGGGGTCCGTCACTGATTTTACGTCCAAAAATCAGTTACCTTGCTTATTCCAGTACACTGTAAGAAAAGATACACCATATCTACTCAATAAAAATGAGGCAACAGATTACAAGCAATATT